TCAGGGCAATGGAGAGTCCTCGTATGTGCCACAGGAAGCCATCAGCAGTGCCATCCAGCTTCTAGAAGACCCATTACAGAGGGTAAGGATCTTCAGGATCACTCTCTCCTCAACTGACTTTCAAATGTCTTCTGATTTTTATTCCTTTTTACCTACTGGGCATATCCTCCTAAGAGCTAGAGAACATAAAACAGAAAGAACAAGCAAAATCTGTAAACATTTCCTTAAGAGGTGCCTATCATGTTTTCGCATACATACACATAGGTTAGGGGGTTAAGATGGATGATTATTGGGGTTTAAACGTTGTGTGTTGGCTGGGCACAGTGGCTCACACCTGTAATCCCACCCTTTGAGAGGCCAAGGTGGGCAGCTCACTTGAGGTTAGGAGTTTGAGACCAGCCTGGCCAACATGGTGAAAGCCTGTCTCTACTAAAAATACCAAAATTAGCTGGGCATGGTGGTGCATGCCTGTAGTCCCACCTACTCAGGAGGCTGAGGCCAGAGAAACCCTTGAACCTGGGGGGCGGAGGTTGCATTGAGCCAAGAGAGTGAGACTATCTCAAAAAAAGAAAAAGAGGCCGGGCGCGGTGACTCATGCCTGTAATCCCAGCACTTTGGGAGGCCGAGGCAGGCGGATTACGAGGTCAAGATATCGAGACCATCCTGGTCAACATGGTGAAACCCCATCTCTACTAAAAATACAACATTTAGCTGGGTGTGGTGGTGCGTGCCTGTAGTCCCAGCTACTTGGGAGGCTAAGGCAGGAGAATTGTTTGAACCCAGGAGGCAGAGGTTGCTGTGAGCCGAGATCGTAAGACTGCATTCCAGCCTGGTGATGGAGCAAGACTGTCTCCAAAAAAAAAAAAAAAAAAGTGTGTTAATTTAAATGTGTCTACATGGAGGTAAATTAATTTGATGGTTACTTTAGGCAATTGCTGTATATTCTCAGATAGCCATTTTTTTTCTTTCAGACAGCCATTTATATATATATATATATATATATATTATATATATTTAATTTTCTTTGAGATGGAGTCTTGCTCTGTCACCCAGGCTGAAGTGCAGTGTCATGATCTTCACTCACTGCAACCTCTGCCTCCTGGGTTCAAGAGATTCTCCTACTTCAGCCTCCCGAGTAGCTGGGATTTCAGGCGCATGCCACCATGCTTGGCTAATTTTTGTATTTTTAGTACAGACGGGGTTTCACTATGTTGGCCAGGCTGGTCTCAAACTCCTGACCTCATGATCCAACTGCCTCAGCCTCCCAAAATGCTGGGATTACAGGTGTGAGCCACAGTGCCTGACCCATTTTTATATTTTTAAGCAAATCAATCAATTTAAATTAAACCAGTTGTTTGGGATTTTATATTTATATAGTTAGGGATAGCACCCAGAAATAATGAGCTAAGATTTGAAAGACGTAAGGTTATGAATCAGTAGACAGACTATAGTAAGTAAAGCCCGACAGGAAAGTCCAAACAAGAACAGTTTGTAACGCATTAGATAAGTATAATAGGGAACAGGGGAGAAAAGAAGGAAGACTAGCGGGAAGTCAGGAGGACAGTGTGGAATAAGTTTCTAGTTCAACATTGAGGTGAAGTATTCAAGTTAAAGATTAGGTCTGTAACCCTGTTAGCCTTCAAGGTTGAAAGCAGGTTAATTGTCATGGGATGGTACAGGAGGCAGAAAAGGAGGCAGAGGTGAGGCACAGTGGCCCATACTTGTAATCCCAGCACTTTGGGAGGCTGAGCTGGGAGGATCACTTGAGCTCAGGAGTTTGAGACTAGCCCAGAAAACATGACAAAACCCCATTTCTATGGAAAAAACAAAAACAAAAAACCAAACATAAAAATAATCTGGGTGTGGTGGCACATGCCTGTGGTCCCAGCTACTCTGGAAGTTGAAGGGAGGATTGCTTGAGCCCAGGAGGTTGAGGCAGCAGTTAGCTGTGATTGTGCCACCATACTCCAGCCTGGGTAACACAGCAAGACCCTGTATCAGAAAAAGAAAGAAAATAAGGCAGAATGGTTACAGGAATCCTCGGAAATTCAGTGAATTCAGTGATTGTGGGCAAAGGAAATGGTGAATATTGATCACAGTGGGTAAGTGTGGGAAGAGAGAAGCTAAAAATTTGTCAAGGTTTAGAAAAGAAGATAGGCAATGAGTTGGCTAATAAAGCAGAGAAGTAGAAAATAAGGAAAAAGAAAGTGTGAACATTAAATAAAAAAAGAAAGGTTGTGGTTGGAGAGCAGAAAAATAATTAAAACCAGAAAGGCAGTGGATGTATTTTTCATATACCTTAGTTTTTGAAGCCCTTTCAGGTGTGTTTGTCAATATATTGTTTTCTCAGCAAGTGCCAAGCCCCTGCTATGTACAAAGCCTTGTGCTAAGTAGAATGAGAGCTATAAAGATTAACACATTGCGGGGCTTGCCAGATGCCTACTCCACCTTGTTTTCTTTTCTAGGAGTTCATTCAAAAGTGCCTGCAGTCTGAGCCTGCTCGCAGACCAACAGCCAGAGAACTTCTGTTCCACCCAGCATTGTTTGAAGTGCCCTCGCTCAAACTCCTTGCTGCCCACTGCATTGTAGGACACCAACGTGAGTCCTATTGGCCCTACAGGGAATATTCTTCCAATCTGGAGCCCTGTAACTATCACTGGCATGCTTGCTCTCCTCTTCTATTTCCAAAGGGATTCTTTTTTTTTTTTTTTTTTTGAGAAAGAGTCTCACTCTGTCTCCCATGCTGCAGTGTGCAATGGCGTGCTCTTGGCTCACTGCAACCTCCGCCTCCTGGGTTCAAGCAGTTCTCATGCCTCATCCTCCCGAATAAATGGGATTACAGGCATGTGCCACCATGCCTGGCTAAGTTTTGTATTTTTAGTAGAGACGGGGCTTTGCCATGTTGGCCAGGCTGGTCTTGAACTCCTGGCATCAAGTGATCTATCTGCCTTAGCTTCCCAAAGTACTAGCATTACAGGCATGAGCTACCATGCCCTGCCTCCAAAGGGATTCTTTACCACTTTGCCTCCATGCCTTCTATGATATTTAATATGACTATTCCTCCATAACATCCCACTCCATCATGCCCTCCAGACATGATCCCAGAGAATGCTCTGGAGGAGATCACCAAAAACATGGATACCAGTGCTGTACTGGCTGAAATCCCTGCAGGACCAGGAAGAGAACCAGTTCAGACTTTGTGAGTAACTGAGAAGGTCTGAAAAGAGCAGATTGGTGACTACCACTCTTGAGGCTCTGTAAACTGTCCATTCTCTGGGAATGATTGAATTTGCTTTTTTGCTTGTTTCCTTCTTTCCATCTCCTTTCTCTTTTCTCCTCCAGGTACTCTCAGTCACCAGCTCTGGAATTAGATAAATTCCTTGAAGATGTCAGGTGAGAGCAGAGTGAGAAGGCAGGCTTTCTTGAGGAAGCCGGCAGGGTTGGGTATCCTAAGGCATTCACAGAGCTCATGTGATCTGTTTTCATCTCCCTCCAGGAATGGTATCTATCCTCTGACAGCCTTTGGGCTACCTCGGCCCCAGCAGCCACAGCAGGAAGAGGTGACATCACCTGTCGTGCCCCCCTCTGTCAAGACTCCAACACCTGAACCAGCTGAGGTGGAGACTCGAAAGGTAGGGGCTGTGATGGAAGGGAGAGGGGACATCACAAATAAGGCTCTGTCCTTTAGAGAAAATGCTCCCTAGCAGCTATGTGCTATGGGCTGGAAAGGCCTCTAGGTATTGGGTTTTGTACGGACAGGTCTCTAGAGTGACCCTCTCTGTCCTCCTTCCCTAGGTGGTGCTGATGCAGTGCAACATTGAATCGGTGGAGGAGGGAGTCAAACACCATGTAAGGCTCAGGGCTAGGGTTGCGAAGGGCTGGTGGCTAGAGGGTAGGGAAGAGTCTCATTTTCTGACTGTCCTATTCTCCAGCTGACGCTTCTGCTGAAGCTGGAGGACAAACTGAACCGGCACCTGAGCTGTGACCTGATGCCAAGTGAGTCTCTCCTTTCCCTCAGAGGATGGAGAGTCTGTGAGCCTTATCTTTGAGGGACATATTCAGGAGTGGGGAAAGCAACAAGGCAGTATCACACTGACTCACAAAGAATAATTATCTTAGCCCCTACAACAGTGGGTGGATCTGACAGTTTAGCCCTAGTGGTGCTGTCTGAAGGGCCCCAGGTCCATCCACCCTGTACTGTACTCACCCCCTCCTGTTTCTCTGTCAGATGAGAACATCCCCGAGTTGGCAGCTGAGCTGGTGCAGCTGGGCTTCATTAGTGAGGTGAGATTTCTGCCTTCATCTGACCTGGCTGCCCCAGTGCCTTCTTTTCTCTCAGCACCTGTCTCACTGAGCTCTTCTCCCCCAGGCTGACCAGAGCCGGCTGACTTCTCTGCTAGAGGAGACCCTGAACAAGTTCAATTTTGCCAGGAACAACACCCTCAACTCAGCCGCTGTCACCGTCTCCTCTTAGAGCTCACTCGGGCCAGGCCCTGATCTGCGCTGTGGCTGTCCCTGGACGTGCTGCAGCCCTCCTGTCCCTTCCCCTCAGTCAGTATTACCCTGTGAAGCCCCTTCCCTCCTTTATTATTCAGGAGGGCTAGGGGGCTCCCTGGTTCTGAGCATCATCCTACCCCTCCCTTCTCTTCCTCCCCTCTGCACTTTGTTTACTTGTTTTGCACAGACGTGGGCCTGGGCCTTCTCAGCAGCCGCCTTCTAGATGGGGGCTAGTCGCTGATCTGCCGGCTCCCACCCAGACTGTGTGGGAAGGAGGCCCATGGGCACTGAGGGAGCCGAATTCTACAATCCCGCTGGGGCGGCCGGGGCGGGAGAGAAAGGTGGTGCTGCAGTGGTGGCCCTGGGGGGCCATTCGATTCGCCTCAGTTGCTGCTGTAATAAAAGTCTACTTTTTGCTAAAAGCGTCGTGTGTTCGAGCCTTGCCAGCCAGGGGGAGCTGGGCCGGGGCAGAGGCGGGGCCCAGGTGGGAGGGGAGCCCGAGACGGAAGCGGAGCCAAGATTGGGGCGTGGCTGAGCCCAGGTAGAGCTACCCTATGGCCGGTGCAGCTGACGGGATGAGGCGCTGCAGTCTCTGCGCTTTCGGTAACTTCCGGCTTCTGTCGTATCTTGTCTTTCCCCTGGGGCCACTCGGCCTGTCCTACCGCCCGTGGTTAGCCCGTGGTTAATCCGCCGCAAGCCGCCTCTCCCTTCCCCGCCCGGCTCAACCCTGCCCCTCCCCCGTGCTTTGCAGACGCCGTCCGGGGCCCCCGGCGGCTGATGCGCGTGGGCCTGGCGCTGATCCTGGTGGGCCACGTGAACCTGCTGCTCGGGGCCGTGCTGCACGGCACTGTACTGCGGCACGTGGCCAATCCCCTTGGCGCCGTCACGCCGGAGTACACCGCGGCCAATGTCATCTCCGTTGGCTCGGGGCTGCTGGTGAGCATGGCAGGTGGCCTGGGGTAGGGGCCGGGCACCCGGAGAGCCAAGCGGGCCAAAGGCTTTGTGTCTTCCACAGAGCGTTTCCGTGGGACTTGTGGCCCTCCTGGCATCCAGGAACCTTCTTCGCTCTCCACTGGTGAGAAGGGACTTCCTGGAGCTTTTAACGAGTAGGCTTGATTGAGTCGGGGAAATGGGGGCTGACTGAGCTTGGTCTTTCAATGGACTGGAGGAGCCTCAAATAGAGATACTGGGTGTTTAGTTACTGGGAGAGTTAGCCAGGCTCAGGCTGCTCACCTGATCTCCCGTCCTTGCCAGCACTGGGCCCTGCTGGCACTAGCTCTGGTGAACCTGCTCTTGTCTGCTGCCTGCTCCCTGGGCCTCCTTCTTGCTGTGTCACTCACTGTGGCCAACGGTGGCCACCGCCTTATTGCTGACTGCCATCCAGGACTGCTGGATCCTCTGGTACCACTGGATGAGGGGCTGGGACATACTGACTGCCCCTTTGACCCCACAAGAATCTATGTGAGCACATTCTCTTCCTTCTTGTGGTCTACAAAGCCTTGGTCTTGCCCTTTTAATTTCTCCTATTTGCCACACTTGCCCTACTTCCTCCTAGTCCCCATCCTTCCTTCTTGCTTTTCAGGATACAGCCTTGGCTCTCTGGATCCCTTCTTTGCTCATGTCTGCAGGGGAGGCTGCTCTATCTGGTTACTGCTGTGTGGCTGCACTCACTCTACTTGGAGTTGGGCCCTGCAGGAAGGAGGGACTTCAGGGGCAGGTAAGGAAGGTGAACAGGAAGGGTTCATTCCACAGAGATTGGCTGTGTTGAAAAGACGTGACTGGCCTCATACAGTGGCTCACTCCTGTAATCCCAGCACTTTGGGAGGCTGAAATGAGCAGATCACTTGAGGTCAGGAGTTTGAGACCAGCATGGCCAACATGATGAAATCTTGTATCTATTAAAAATACGAAAAATTAATCGGGTGTGGTGACCGGCACCTGTAATCTCAGCACTTCGGAGGCTGAGGCAGGAGAATTGCTTGAACCGGGAGGTGGAGGATGCAGTGAGCTGAGATTGTACAACTGCACTCCAGCC